ACCATGCCATACCATACATAAAATGTGCTCAAGATTTGATCAATTCTGAAATCAGCATATTGGAGTCTTTGGGTATAACTTTTTTATCTAATTCTTCTTGCACGTCTTACAATTTTGGTCTTACACATTTAGCCTTTGTGCTGTTTATCATGCGTGCTTATACGTTCACCGTCTGTCTTTTTATCTATGTACCTCTATTTCAATTTTTTAAAATTTATTTTTATTGATTTTATTGAGCTCTATATTTTTCTCTGCTCCCCTCCCTTCTCTCCCCTCCCCTTCAACCCTCTCCCACTGTCCCCATGCTCCCAATTTACTCAGATCTTGTCTTTTTCTACTTCCCATGTAGACTAGATCCATGTATGTCTCTCTTAGGGTCCTCATTGTTGTCTAGGTTCTCTGGGATTGTGGTTTATAGGCTGGCTTTCTTTGCTTTATGTTTAAAAACCACGTATGAGTGAGTACATGTGATAGTTGTCTTTCTGGGTCTGGGTTACTTCACTCAATATGATATTTTCTAGCTCCATCCATTTTCCTACAATCTATTTCAATTTTCATTGCTCACTACCATGACCTCCCATTATCATCCCCCTAGCTCTGTTGGGATTTGTATGTTGGTTGGTTAAATCCCCTCTTAAACTTTTCTTCAAGTAGGAAAACAGGCATTAGCCTCCAACTTTTCGCTTATTTGTAAGTAGGGTAGAGTTTTGACTGGTCAAGGATTTCATGAGTTGGGAGTCCTTTCCTGGCAGAAGTCTGTGGATATCATTGCACTAACTTCCAGAGATCAGATCCTGTTTGTTTAATATGATTTATTTTAGTAATATTTTAAATAAGGCTTAATAAGATTTATGTATCTTTATGTGTGTATTTCACCCACATGTATGTATACCAACTGCATGAGGTAGCTGAGGAGGCCAGAAGAGGGCATCATATCTTCTAGAGCTGGAGGATGGCCGTACCTTAGCTGTTTGTACGGTAGGAACTGAACTCTGCTCCTCTGCAAGAACATCAAGTGCTCTTAACTGGGGAGCCATCTCCCTAGTCCCCAGGCTCTAATTCCTGCTGTGTATCCTCTTATAACCCCCACCCAGTTTCAGATTTGACCAGGAACTTGCTAGGGTGTGTTCACAGTCGAATGTAATTCCAGACTGAACAGTGCTGGGATTTCTTGGTCTAAGAAATTTTCTCCATTACAAGTTTGTTTCTTTTATCTGAGGTTTTTTTTTTTTTTTTAAACCAAGCCAGCCCCCGAACACAACCCCCTAAACCCCTTGGACTACTTGTCCGCCAGTCTCATCTTCACTCTCTGCTTTGACACATTTCCCACTTGATCTTTTAGCCTATTAATCTGGATCTCAGTAGTGATTAATCTCTCCTTTCATTTAGGTATAAAATCAATTGCAAAAATTCTCTTTAAAAAAAAAATACCTTCTATGTTTGCTTATTTGTGTGTGTGGGGGGTACATGCACCACTACACATTTGTGGAGGTCAGAACTTGTGGGAGCTGGTTCTCTCCTTCCACCACTTGGGTTCTCAGGATCAAACTCAGGCCATCCAACTTCGCAGCAAGTGCCTTTACCTTTCGAGGCATCTGGCTAGACCTCTGGTTTTTGAGACAGAGCCTATTACATAGTCCTGACTCTTAATCTAAAATCCCTCCAATCTGCCTTCTGAACTCTGGGTTACAGACAAACCTGATCTTCCTGTCCGTTTAGATATAGTGTTATTTCTTTGGAGGCTCAGTGAGGTTTGGGGACTGGGGCTTTTGCGAAATGCATGTTCTGAGCTGCAAATTCCCTCCCTGGGACGGAGGGAATGTGTTATCTTTCTCCAAGTTTCCTGTGGGAGGCAAGCTGTGCACAGTGTTCTTCTGAAGCAGGGAGAGCATACCTGCTCGCTGGTCTCTGGGTTCCTCTCAGAGGATGGAGGGAGGATAGAAGAGAGAGGAGGAAGGGCACCACGCACTGTTCAATCCTTGCCACTTTGGGATCCAGAAAAGTCACTTATTCATGTGGAGTTTGAAATCAACTTCACTCCTAGGAGCCACAAGATTTTGAGATAAAGCTTTTCCTTGGCTTTAGTAGTTTGTTCTTACTCTGCAGATTTCCAGTGGTAGGGGATGGGCAAGCCTTTGACATGCATGTTTTCTCTAATCTGAGACTCCTGCAGAACCCACAGCCTCATTTTCATCCACACACTCACAGGGCCTGCTGGCCCTAGCTGGAAAGAACTGTGCTCTCTTCAGGTGCCATTTTCTTAGGCTTCTAGTTACCGATTACTGCTGAGTCTTGGATGTTAACACATGATTTCCTTTACATTTAATTGGGTGGCCTATGCATTATTATCAGAATGTCAAAGGAAGAATAGGAAGACAATGAGAAGGGGGGGGGGGGAAAGGAGGCAGGATAGCATGACAGAAGACCTTCTGACAATTGGTTCTGAGTACCAAAACACTGCTTAGTGTCCCCTCTGACACCTTCAACTTTCTAACTGTCCAGTTTTATGCTGTATACTAATGGGGTCTGTATTTCTGGATTTACTGGTTTTATGTCAGATCAAAACTTGGCCTTTTTTCCAGGATGGCTTCATTCCTATATTTCTCAATTAAGAAAATAAAAAAGCTATCTTTTAACACAGTGGTCACACCAGGGCCCTGGTGTCAGCATTTATATCCTTCTGAGACTTGTAGTCTAGTGAAAATGCCACACACATTCTGCTTCCTGTGGTCAGTAATTTCCCATCTTTATATGTATCTATTTACATAGGATGTGTGTATATGTGTGCCCATACACCACACACACATGTATGCATGTGCACACCACACACACACACACACTTGCATAAGATGTTGGGCTTGTCTAAATGTACTGATAGAGCCCAATTCAATTCTTTGTAAATACTACCTGAAGAGAGTTCCTAATGACACCAGAGAATAAGTAAAAGAAATCTTCTTTTTGATGAGCAAATAATTCACATTCACATAAAACCAATCATGAAAGCAGTTCACCAATGGACCCCAATGGGAACTAGTTGACTTCTCTGTCTATATTGGTCTATGTCCTAGTGTAAGGTTGGAAGCTTCAGTTGAGAGCCTCTCTTCCCATAGTTTGACATTCAGTCACTGCAGCTGGACCTATGACTTGTGAGTGTGGAGCTCTATGTGTGTGTGTGTGTGTGTGTATCAACTGCCATTCCTGTGTGGGCCGAGTTCACAGTGATGAGAAAGTCACTAGATCACTAGGCATGCCAGCTCCGCTCTGTTGTGATAAGACACACTGACCAGAAAGCAGCCTGGTAGTCGGGGCAAGGGTTCATCTGGCTTATACTTCCAGGTCCAATCTGTTATTGAGGGAACTCAGGGCAGAAATTGCAGGAGAAATTTAACACGGAAACCATAGACCACTACTTGCTAGCCTAATCCCTGGCTCTCCTTCCTGCTCAATCGGCTTTTTACATAACCACGGGACCACCAGCTCAAGAAACGGGGTCACCCACAATGGGCTGGGCCCTCCTACATCAATTATAAACATGACACTCCCTCAAGATATACCCATAACCAACCTAGTCTAGGTAAACCCTCAGTTGAGGTTTCTTCAGATTTCTGGCTGTGTCAATTAACATGTATACACGGAGGTCTGTATGCTATTTACTGTACTCTTGCTGGCGTATTTAATCTGGCTAGCACCTATAAGAAGAACCTTAGGAGACTTGAAACCTGAGATTCACTGCAGTAGTCTCCGAGTCGTTGAAACATAGGTTCTATTCCTGATGGCGGGGTTGTCTACTGCATATGTCTTCTCAGGCCCTCACTGGTGAACCTCTGATTCTGTAATTGCTTAGGATCGGAGAGAAATTGCTACTGCACACCTGCATAAAACATGTATATAAGTAATATATAATTATGCCACTGGCATCCCCAAACCATATGGTTCACTCCTAGCCATTGGCCAATTACCACATGCCTTTCTTTTACAGGAGGCAGAAATAAAAAACAAAAAAGAAACGTTTGTTTCAAAGCCTGTCCCTGTCATTGGAAGTGACATAAAGGCTGGAATTTTAATTACAGATGAGGGCACCATTCTCATTAGCCCACTAACGAGGCCCCTGGCTACATACGCATTGCTTTAGGAGAAAGTAAAAGATCTAAATAGGGGTGACTAAAAGGGGCATCGTGTGTGATTGTGAGAACTTAAAAATATTTGAAAGCTACAAAAAAAAATATGGAAGGATCATTTGCACACAGGTAATTGTAGACTCTAAAAGTTAGGAAGAACCTCAGACACCATATTTAAGGTTACAAAGGTTTTCAAATTAACAAAACAAATCCAGAAACTGTAGCTCGCAGCTGTAAAGCTCATAGATTTTCTAGGAAGCTCAGGCTTATTTTACACATCTTTTATTTTCTGCACCTTTGAAAACTATCGGACCAACATTTTAAATTCAGTCTTTACATGAAGGTTAAATACATATCAGTAACGGCACTTTAATAATTTTAAGAATATTTTCTTAAGCTAGAGACATGGCTCAGTGCTTAAGAGCCCTGGCTGTTCCAGAGGTCCTGAGTTCAATTCCCAGCACCCACGTGGTATCTCACAACCATCTCTAATGAGATCTGGTGCCCTCTTCTGGCCTGCAGGCAGACACGCAGACAGGACACTGTATACATAATAAATAAATAAACTTTAAAAAAGAATATTTTCTTTTTTATAGAGTTCCCACTCCATGATGCACAAATTGGGACTGACCGTGGCTGCAAGATGGTTAGAGCCTACACAAACAGGGTGAGGTAGCAACTCTCACAGCAGAAAACGCTAACTTGATTTTCTCTTGTATCTAGCATGCACAATAAATGCTAATACACATTTTATTTTTGGAGTTGTGTATTCAAAAAAATTCAATAAACAGATAAGCAGTGATATACCAAATACAGGCATTATAAAGTTTCTTTTTAAAATAAATGTTTGTTTAGAATAAAATGTTGTTACAAAGACCAGAATTGGAATCTAATAAAACAATTTAATAAAACAAGGCACAATGTTTAAGGCAAAATTCATGAAGAAAGTATATAAAGTTAATATAAGATCATATTTTTTCATGTCCTTTGGGGGAGGAGGCACAAGAATTTAAATAGTTTAAATATTCTTTTGAGAATATTAGCCATTATAAGGTAACATAAATTTGATACAACAGGACTACATCTTTTCCAGAAAACAAACTCCATTATTAATTCACATTTCTGAGTTACATTTTAGTTATATATATACTCATACAGATATTTCTAATACGTAAGACTTTAGGTACTGAAGACTAAACAAGTCAGAACATACATAATAATTTGACCAAAATAGAAGTAACACCTTTTCAGCATCTTGTTGGCATTTGAAGCCCCAACTTCACAGAAAGCGAAGGCTGGTTATGCAGACAGACTTTCCCACTGTGTTCTGTTCTAACACCACAGCACAAGTCTGTACATGGCTGTTAGAAAGTGACCACTGGGGTCACAGTTTCTCAGGAACACCAGTGCTGACCATGTTAACTGTGAGAACAGGGATTCTCAACCATCCCTGTCCACAAAGCCAGTCAACTGCAGTAATAGCAACACCAACCTCATCCTAGTTTCTTCCTCCAGCTGGAGTTTTGAATAATAAACAATTTTATTCAGTTTACTCAAGGCCAAAAGAATAGAGCATGTTCTAGCAAATGCAGACAGTTTTCTGCATGTAAATGACCTTCACTAAGCTACTAGATTTAATACACACATAACACGCACACGAGACTGAATATTCTATCGATTACTGAGGCTGACTAATGCTAAGAGAAAGCCTAGCAGCACCTGTCTAGACCACCTTCTAATGTTCAGCTGTGAGTTAGTGGAATGCTTAATTTAATGCTTAGTTAAAAGAGATCAAAAAAAAAATGTAAAACGAATGGTGGCACTTACACTAATATTAAACTACCCCTTTCAGCCTATAGGAAAACAGTGATACAACATGCTATACCTCAGTGACAATATTTTCCTAAGATGCTATGACAGCAGAGGAATTTCTGTTGTCCTTTGTGGTAGCATATACATTTAAATAAAATACTATATAAAAGATACACTTCTTTTCTGGGGGCAGGATGGTGGTGGTGCTTGATCCTTGGTTCCAGAGGGCTCTTATCTCCTGGCACAGTATGATTAAGATTCCCTCCCCAGAAGACCCCCCCCCCCCACACACACACACAAAGAAACCAGCAGGCCTGTGGTGGCAAAGGAATCTCTCAGGATCAGACTTTCTCCTTCAAGTCAATGCAGAAGACCACATGGCCATCACCGACAACCATATAATATACTTTATTTACTGTATTTTGAGTTAAATGGAAGACTTAAGGCACTTACTCTCAGACCACAAAGGATACTGCTACCAACTACACTATCAAAAAGATCACACGATGATGAAAATATAAAGCTACATGCTACTGAATGAATGTTACATAATATTAAATGCTTAACATACAGATGATGAGGTTAACTAAACACTTATTCTCTAAGAAACAGAGTTACATGCTATAGGTCCCACTGCCTGAAGCCTACACTGCACCCTTCACCAGGGTCACTCTGCCTAGCCTAACTTAACAATTCAGTATGTGGCTCTAAATGGAGAGCAATACTTAAAATCTACTTTTAGATGAAAGCCAAATCAACTAGGTAAAAATTAAGCTCTTTAAAACTAAGTGCACCTAAATAATTTTACATATACACTTTTACTGATAAACTCCTATCTATAAGCACTCACACGGGAACTTAGAAAATAAACATGTTTTTATGCAAAGAGCTACTACTAAATGCATAATTTGCAGTTTAAAAGAAAAAAGCGCAATTCACCAAGGCTACGTGTTGTACTAGTAACGAGGCCAATGAGGAACTACTTTCCAACTCTGGGAAGAACAAGGGTAAGAGAAAGCCTACAGCTTGCTGGCTCTGCTTTACCAGAGCAATGGAGCAGCCTCCAGCACAGGGACCAAGAGAATAGTAACTGTATTAAACCCAGTGACCAGGCTTTCAGATGCCAGCAACAGACCACATGGCAAATCAATTTTAAAATAATTCTTTATTACTCGACAGAGCTTCACTGGTGCAGGGATTTCCATATGACTTGATTTTCCCTATCCTTTGCTGCTTCTAAAGATTTGTTTTTCTTAACATTCAAGCAAGGAGCCTCTTCTTGAGCCTTCATTTAAACCCAGTATTTGTAGTGTCTGTCAGAACTGGTCTGCAGTGACAGGCACTATTGAGGATTGCCTTTAATTTTTATTTACATCACACCCAAATTTCTCATATTTGAAGTCAATTTACAATGCATGTTTATTTTTAATATTGGTGATAAAAATTTAAACGTCAAGACTTTCAGACCAGGAGGCACCTCTGGCATACTTCTACACCTGTGACTTGAGCAGCTGGGAAGCTGAGACAAGACTGGGCTATACAGTAAGTTCAAGGCTAGCCTGAGCTACACAGCCAGGCCCTGTCTCAGAAAATAAAACAGCTGTATTATGAAAATTATCCCTTGCCAATTCTGAAACTCTAAGAGTTCACTAGCTGGATAAATATGGGATTCATAACTAGGGAGACAGACTACTGCTACCACTACATTCAACTGACTTCAGAAGATCAGAATTCTAGATGGCCAATTCCTATCTCACTAAGCTAATGTCTATGGAATCATTAAAAAAGGAAAAGGATGAAAAAGAAAGAAAAAAGATTTTAGCAATCTTTGGCAGCTCTTGTAAAGAATAAGGCCAAAGATGGATTAAAAACAAACAAACAAACAAACAAAAAGGCAAAACAGCTACCAATGAAGATTTCATTAAAAGCTACCTATGCTAGGCGTCGACTGTAGCTTGTTCAGCATGCACAGGTCCTGCATCCACCCCTATAAACCCAACCCCTGCCCAAAAGACAGCGACACGCTGACCTGGCTCACTGTTCACAGAGCTTAACCACACACATAAAACCCAACACTTCATTGAAAGAACTCCACAGGCTACATCTACAGCCACAGGCTGGAGTATTTACATTTATGAAAGGTGACTAGGAAACTGGAAAGGGCAGCATTAGATGCTCTTTTTTTACAAAGCTATTTACAAGTGATTCCTAAAAGGCTACGCAAGCTATTACTTAGTACTAGAGGATTATCAATCAAAAAACTAGAAGTATTTAAACCAGAAGAATACGGTCCCATCATCTGAACATTTTCCATGAAAATATTCTATGTTGTTTAAGTCATCTAATTACAAAGCATTTACAAGTGTGACACTTGGGTACTGCCCAAGCCATCACTGTCTGTCCTAATCTAGCAGTCTGCAGCTTACAGCTGCACACTTGGGGAAGTAAAAAGACTTTATAACTTCTATCGTACAATTAACTATGCTAGCAGTAGAAATATCACTTATATAAACACAGGAAGAAAATTTCTAAATAAAAAATTATCTTACTACACTATTTTGAGGAAAAGGTAAGGGGACTCACTATAGCAGCGTTTCACAACTGCAGCCACGAAACTCTTATGTTTCATGACGGAACACAAACACACACAAACCCTGAATTACCCTATAATCTACTAATATAACCTACTAAAATAAAAGTAATATATACAAGAAACCTACCATGCAACTATTGTCAGCATACAGCTGACTTCTAACAAAGCACTCTTTAAGAGATCACCGGCGCCCTAGTGTGATCTGACCTACTGTTAGCGCTCATCAACAGTCTCCATGCTGTCACACACAGGCTGCTTATTTAATCATCAGTAGAGGGTCAGTATTTCCTAATTCCAACTTACAGTTTTAATATTAGTTTTTTATTGCATAATCAACTAGTTAGTAAATTTGTTAATTTCCAATGACAATAATTTGTGTTGCTACTTTTCTTCTACACTTTAAGGATACATTTTAGCGTTTTCTGTCTTGTTTTATTAATACTTCTTTCTCAGTGCTCGGCGGTTAAAACCAACTTTGTGAACTGTTCTATTGTGAATGAACACAATGAGCTCCACTTCTGACTATCTCTGACTGTCATGTTATCTAGTTTAGTTTTTCTTTCAAATGCAGAGAAAGTTTCGGTTTAGTATATAATACAAGCAAAGGAGACACATTTGATGGTTAAAATCCACCCCGAGCCTAGCCCACCCCCACTTTTGAGACAAACATATATATATCCATTCATCCCAGGCTGGTCTCAACCTCACTATGGTGTCTAGGCTAACTCTGAACTCATCTTCTGCCTCTACCTCCTACTGCTGGTTTGGAGGTATGTACAATCATGGCCAACTTTTCTTGATTTGGTCCAATATTATAAAGCAGTTTTTCTTAGATCACTTGCCATCTAGATTTTCCTCTTGGGAAATATTATTATAGATTATTCTATCTTTTGGCAAATAGATTGATCACAATTGTAGCCTCCCAGAAGTGTAAAAGTCATGCTTTCAAGAGATCACTGCAGTTAACAAAATGAAGTTAAGAAGGCCATGGAGGCAGGTGGTGGCACACACCTTTTAATGCCAGCAACAGGAGGTGGAGGCAGGTGGATCTCTGAGTTTCTGGCCAGCCCATTCTACATAGAGTTCCAGGCCTGTAGGGCTCAGGTTTATCTACACAGTTCTTTACCTAGCCCGTTAAAGCATATTTCCAAGTGTCTTGCAGGCTTCTCTGAAACCATTTCTAGAATAAGCTTCCATATTCTTGCTAGGATTAAGGCACTAACACATCACAGCTAGACTGCATGTTAGTAACAATCACACAAACAAGAGCTGAAGTTTAAATATTCCATTTAAAAGTGATAGTCCTTACGGTACCAGTTAGTGGGTCAACCCAATGGCCCCAGGTAACACCACTCCAGGCTGATTGTGACTGCTCCTCAGAGTGTACCATTCTTCTAGTGTTTGATCCAAGACTTAGTGAAAACTGTGACCAACCAGCTGATGAATTTTGAACTGCCATGCAGAATAAATTACACTCAAAGAACCTAAGCACAGAACTGGACTCAATCTTTCTAAACGGATGGATCACTGTAACTCTTACATGGACAGTCAAGATGAAAACAGTAAGGCTTCCAATCAATTTCAAGCTTCATTTTCTTTTTGAATCATCTTTGCTTAGTGTTTTAGCATTGTCAACACCCACTGCTGCTCAACCAAGCAGGACCTTCTGCATCCTGTGCGCGGCGACACTGGCCTCATCTTCTGAGTCAGACTCACTCTGTGACGTGGAACTGTGCGAGGCCGAGCTGCAGGGAGAAGAGCATTCTGGAGAACACAGATAGTGCATCAGGGGGAGGCGATACTTCCCACAGAAGTCCACAAACTTAATTTGTCTGACACAGCAGTCAAAATAGACTCCTGGAGAGAAGAAGAATATAGATCAGTAAAAGCAAAGATGTGGTGTGGGAGACTTGTCTGTATTCTGTCAATCATATTTTAATAAAACGCTGATTGGCCAGGCAGGCAGTATAGGCAGGAAAGCCAGACAGGAAGTAGGGGTGGAGCAAAGAGACTGGGAGTATTCTGGGACACAGGAAGCTCCCTCGTCACTACTGTGCAGACCACTGAAGAGGTAGCATGTAACTGGCCCAGCCGAAAAAGGTACCAAGCCATATGGCTAACATAGATCAGAATAATGGGTTAAGATAAGTCATAAGAACTAATAAGTAGCCTGACCTAATGGACCAATCAGCATTATAACTTACAGAGATCTCTGTGTGATTGATTTTCTCTGGGACTTGCCGGCTGTGGGGTACCGGGCAGGAACAGATACCCCAACAAGCCGGCCCTCACACTACAAAGATGCACAGTTTTTTCTTAAAAAAAAAAAAAAAAAAGAAGAAGAACCACCACCATTCTGAAAAAACTTGAATTCCGGATCGTCCTGCCTGCACCTCTCCCAAGGGCTTAGGATTACACATGTGCACCATCACTGGGAGAGCAAAACAGACAGAAACAAAAGGCCATTCTACATTTATGCTGGCTCTAAATCTCTGGGTTACAAAGCTGATGATCTCATTTAGTGTATGCAAAATCAAATATACTTTGGTAGATTACAACCGGTACTTCCCTTACTTGGTACTTCAGTGCTCCTGACTATGTAGTGAGGTAGAGCTACAGCCAGAGTTGAGAGGAAAGCAAGGTCACCATGTCTCAGACTCTAGCTGGCCCTTTAGAAACACTTTACACACCCAAGGCCACCCCTATGCCTGCAGTATAACCAAACTACGGAGATTTGTGCCCACTGTCTCTCTGAAAAAGAATCTCAACTTCAAGCCTGTTTCCGAACTATTCTCTATCCCACAATGGACCCAAACAAAGTGATGTGATCTAATCAAAAGAGAACTCCCACTGACAAGACCCCTCGCTAACCATTTTAAAGGCAGGATCTTACTAGGTAACCTAGGCTGGCCTGGAACTCTCTGCGTAGACCAGGATGGCCTCCAACTCACAGAGCTCCTTGCCTGTGCCTCCTGAGTGTGGGAATAAAAGCATGTGCCAACCTGGCTCCCCTATAACCCGTTATGGTTTACTACTCTGAACAACTGAGAAAGTAGATACATCCAATACGTTTATAATAAAGCCTCATAACTAGGCTAGCTTCCCGTAATACTAGTCATCTCTAAGCTTTCAAACCATGCAGAGAAAATGTCTCATAAATGAGATAATTTTTAACTTATAATTCAATAAGGAACCTGGGGTGGTGTGGATAGGAAAGCATGATTGATTTTATTTTACTTATTTATCGATGTTATCTGAAAATTTAAACTTATAATTTTTAAGGCATTCCTAAGATAAACAACTCTTTAGAATACTAAAGAAGTCAATAAAAAGTCGGCAAAGAGAAGAGTTCTTTTCTCTTTAGAGGGCCATTCCCAAGAGGGCAGATTCTGGCACACTGGATTTCACAGGAAGCAGTGGTGTGAATGCTGCCTCTTACAAATCTTTACACCCTGTTTCAACAGTTCCTGCCTCTGCCAAAGCCACTTCAGGACAGACAGAGGTCCACAGAGGAAGACAGCAACCCCTGCTTCTGAGAGGAGGTGGCCAAACCAGCTCAGAGAATGCTTTTATTTTTAAACCCAGCCTTTTTGTCTGGCAACAGTCTTTGAGAAATTTAACTTTTCTTTTCCTCTATTACCTCTAATCAGAAGATGATCCTTTCTGGGAAAAATCCCACCTGGCTCTGATAACGCTGTGCACATTTCTCAGTATTTACACTTACCCTCACTCCTGCACCTTTCCATACCCATTAAACACAGACTTACATGGAAGACAGCCAAACATTTTCACACTGTTTTAAGGAATTAGAACTATGTATACTTCTTTGTGTTTCCTTTCATCTTATCATCTTACTTTCAACATAATGTTCCAAAACAGGAAGAGAGCTCCTGGGTATTTTCCTTGTGTTTAAAAGAAAACTAGTGTGAAAATAATTTCTAAGGAAGGAGGCACAGGGGGTAAATTCCTCTGTGTGAAGACACTTTAGCTAATTAAAACAAGGCAGAATCAATTTTTACAAATAGCTAAATGAGTGGAAAAGGTTAACATCAGATTCACTTACCACCACATTTTGGGTTTGGGCAATTGCTGGCTGAACCCAAGTATCTAAGGAGATTCCCAGGAAGATCATAGGGAGTGTAAGAAACACTTCGGATCTTAATGGTCCTTGCAGCTAATTCCAGAAGAGTTGGAGGGTCATATGTTAAATCCCTAACAAAACGGACAACCAACGGATTTCCTCGCAAACTCAACTCTTCCAGATGAATAAGGTCGAGGATCTCACGAGGCAAGTATGTCAGCAAGTTATTGTGGAGACTCAGGGAACGAAGAGAATGCAACCTAGAGTGAACACAACACAGAAGCCAAGGGCAGCGGATGAGCGCAACAGCCTGGAAAGTTGCGTTTACATACATGTCTACATGTACATAAGCACGTCTATGTGTGCATACTCTGAGCTTTCCATATGGATGAACAGTTAGGATTGAGGCCAATAAAGGAAAAACTAAAGTATCTAAAACAGCTCAAAATACAGCTTACAAATGCTATCCAAGACTTTCCCTCTGGGATCTTAAGAATACTTAAAACATTCACACATGCATAAAATGATAGATTTAAAGACATTGAAGGACATATTTTATTTTTCACTTACACACCTGAAAATGATTTCAAGTATGCTATGAATAATGATCCTTTTCAGTATAAAGCGACACCAGGACAGGAGTGTTTAACATCAAATACAAATTGCCAAGTTCCACAAGACCCAAGTAAAATTATACCAAGTAATTTTCTCTCTCTTTCTCTCCCTCTATAGAAGATAGATATAGAGGTAGATATATAGATATCTGTATCTAGGTATATCTAGATATAGATATATCTTTAAAAAAACACAAAGAAGAAGAAAGTTGAGAGGTTGGGTCAGTCAGTAAAGTCTCTGATTTGTACAAGGATCCAAGTTCAATCTGCAGCATCAATGTGAAAATGCCGGTAAAAAAATGTCAGGTGTGGGGCATACTTGTAATCCCACAAGTAATCCCTGGGGCCTTCTAGCCAACAAGTCTAGACCAATTGATGAACTCCAGGCCAATGAAAGACCCCATCTAAAAGGAAACAAAAGGCATTCCATATGAGCATGCATACCTGCACACATACATGTACACACACACACAAACACACACAAAGCAAAGCAAGCTGAGCAAATAACTTGGGTAATAAACCAGAACACTTATTAAAAATTACTCAGCTCAAAACAAACTTTTTTTGACTACCTATTTCTTTTCCTTTTCTTTATGAATCAAGTTGGTCTTAAGACATTCCTGTCTCATCCTCCCTAGTGCCGATTCCTGGCACACTCTTCATTCTTTCCCATACATAAGACACAAGAGCGGTCCGACAGTGGTTCCCAACCACAGCTGTCTGTGTCTAGAAGCCGAGACTACTCACTGTGAGAGCTGAGGAGGCACACTCTGGATTTTGTTGTCACATAACACCAAGTAATTCAGAGAAGGGAGATTTGCTAATTCTGGTGGGATTTCTTTAATGAAGTTTCCTCCAAGGTATAAGCATTCTAAACTGCAAAAGCAAATTGTAAAAAAGAAAATAAACACAAGCTGGTCAAGATATTTCATTGCCTCCATTGTAACAGACACATTTCAACTACTCATTCACCATAAGATATATCTTATGTATCTTACTTAGGATTTGCTATAAACCCTTAATACAGTTCCTTGTGTTCTGGTGACCCCCCAACCGTAAATTAGTTTCAATGATAACTCATAACTGTAATTTTGCTACTGTTAAGAATCATAATGTAAGTATCTGACATAATGAAACTGGTCTTAGGTTAGTTATTCCTGTGATAGGGTCATTTGACCACAAAAGGGTCACCACCCAAAGGCTGAGAACACCGTGCGAGGCAGTCTCCAGAGAGAGAATGAAATCCCGAGGAAGTTGATACCTTCTTGTTAGATAAGACACATATGATTAAACCACCAAAACCAGAGGAATAGTTCAGCGGCACTGAAAGAGAACAGGAAGGGTCACGGCAGCTCTCATTGAAGAAGCTTCCCAGAGTACTGTGAACCCAGATGGGCTATGAACTTAGCCCCATAGACAGAGAAACAGAGATTTCCAGGTAGAGGATGTGGCTTTAAAGACTCAACAGGCACATCTGTTAACTAAAGAGAATTTTTCCTGAACCCAGACAAGGCTGGAGATGCCAGATTACAGGCACCACGAGATTCCATGCTGGCATGCTTGTGTTGGATGCATTTACTAATAGACAACAGGGAAACCAGTAGCCCTGCCCACTCCCCGAAAAGGGCAGAAAACCATACACAAAGTTTCTACATAAAAGTTTTTCCTTTACTCTTAATAAAGCAAATACATTCTTCAGAGGCAACCTGAATAAATTATGTAAAACCAACCATTACTATGAAGTTCAAGTTTTAGGTAAGGTTGTTTACTTAACAAAATAACATCTTAGAGGTAGGGTGCATTTATTGTAACAAAATATAATGCCATTTTCTTATGACTGTTGGAAAGTTTCAAACGGATTTTTTTTTTTTTTTTGCAGGGAGGTGGTAGTCAGCTCTTACAATATTCAATAGACAGAACGTATACTTATAACGCATTTGGAACTTGCCCACTATTACTTTTGGTTTTGTTATTCTGCCCAGAACTATCATTCTTTCAAACACTTTCAAGTAAAACATCAAAACAACTTTAAGTGAGAAAAATCAGGCTACCACACTGTTATCCAAAACAGGAATTACCTGGTGGGCATTTCACTTTTTGTACGTGAGTGTGCAAATGTGCACGTGGGTGGAAGCTAGAGTGAACTTGAGTGTCCTCCCCAATTGCTCTTTACCCAAAACTCCCAGATCCACCTGCTCATCAGCCTTCTTTGGTGATCCTAGTTCCACCTCAAACCATACCCACTACTGACACTCTAATTTTCTTAAAATAATTGGATGGTATAAGAAAGGTGCCATTCTGCACTTTCCACCTATAGAGCTGCAGTTTCCTAATTTGTAAATGTAGTATCGTCTTTCTGTGTTTCTGGCCATTTGCATATCCTCAGAGCATTTCCTGTTCATACCATTTTCCCATGGGTTAGACAATTTCCATTAGTTTGTCGAGAGCATTGCTGTTGAATGTGTTCTTCATAGCTTTGTTCCTTTGTGACCTCCTTTTGTCTGTTTTATACATATTACAAGAATTCTTAGTGACTTTGCAAAAGGAGCAATTCAGAAGCTCTAGTTTGTCACCTGCCTTCTTACTGGATGTTAGTCTCCTACATAACCATAGCATTCTCTTTAGAAGTCTGCCATTTTTTGTTTCCAATATACCAAAGCTACACTACAGGCATATCAAGTTTCTGACTCCTAAAACTTCCCGTTGGGGTATTACTTAATTCATATCAAGTATTTCTGTTTCTTCAAATCCATTTTGCTTTGAAATCCACTTCCCTTGATTATGAATAGTGCTTCCAGCTTTTGTTGTTGCTGTCAGCATTTATTTCATTCAATTCTACTGCTTCCTGGCCTAAGAATTAGGGTCAGTTATTTGATGCTTATTAAAGATGGCACAAAAGTCTAAAGCACATAAAATATCAAGTCAACAAATATGAACATCTACCATGTGCTAGGCACCATTTCAGTATCCGTCAGTCGAGCTGTTAATGAAGCACTTACAGGAAAAAGGGGTCAATCAGAAAGTAATGGGAGATGACTCTGCATGGGTAGCCAGGAGAGCTTTCTCTTGGGAGATTTTGAAATGTGAGCAGACTATGAGCTCCAGGGGAAAGTGATCGCTGCAATGAAAGCTGTAGGCAGCATAGCTGGTGTGGGGAGATCAGACTGAGGTGGAAATGAGGTATTGTCAACAGACAGCCTGGGAAGGTTGGTCACAAAGCCTCACAAGAATTTTGAATATTATCCTAGGTATGATGAGTGGGGTTTAATACTTAATTTTCAGTGATTATTTACATACATGCCTATGTGTGTGGTGCTCAGAAGTCAGAAGTCATTGTATCCCCTAGAGCTGGAGTTACACAGTTCTGAGCCACCCAATCTTTCCAGGACAGCTCTTAACTGAGTCTTCTCTCAACCCTCTAGCGCACGGGGTTTAAATGAAAGCTAGCTGCGTCACTTCACTCACAGTTTAGAATAACAATTAGTAGGATGAATGTGTGTGGCTGGAACACAGTGCAATCCCAATGAGAAGTATTAGCTTTTGACTTTTAACTTACTAAGTGTTTTTAAGGACCTTTCACGCACCAACAGGGAACAACCTGATTGCTGATGCTAGGGTGCAGGTTCTACAACGACCTATCTCAGTATACTGTCTCCCTACAGTTCTGCCTTTTCTTACTGACACAGTTCCTTTCTTTCATTCATTTCCCCCACTGTTCTGGGTCATAAATGCTACTTCTATTTTGCTGGTAGACATCCTTCCACTTCCTCCCACAACTGGCCTCATTATCTCAGCACAGCCACTGTTACTATGGTTCCTTTTCTCTTTAGCAGCTCTATGGTCCTCAGTGGCTCCTATGTGTTCCTATTGTGAATGCGTAGTTCCCAGCTGGAGGCGCTAGTCTAGAAACTTAGGAGGTGGGGCCTCGCCGGTACAAGTGGGTCACTAGTGGCAGACCTCTCAAAGTTATACTCCTTCCCCGGTTCTTGCCATCTACCATGTAATAGCCAACCTCTGCCACACATTCCATCATGAGCTCCTTCCACGCTTTCCAACCACAAGGCTGACTGTCTGAAACTGTGAGTTAGTTCTTTCCTCAAGTTACTCTGTTAGGAATTCTGTTCCAGTTAAGAAAAAACAATCACCAAGGCAGCTACTAAGTGATTAACAGGCAGGCAGGCCTACAGAGTGGGACCAAGGAGCAGAGAGCAGGAGCAAGGTGGGAACCAGGGACAGGGCAGCACCTTCAAAGGTCCATTCAGGTTTTGGATGGAGCAACTCAAGATTTCATCATGATTCTCAGAATGGACTGCAACTTAAAAGTGATGAAATGCTTATTTCTAGAATCCTGCATGTAATACTTCTGGGTCACAGTTGGTGTGAGTACCTGAAAGCAGTAAATAAAATCATGAAAAGATGTGGGAAGCAGCTGCACATTTCTCTAAGAATTCTAATTGTGTTTCCATAAATGTTCATTTCAAAACTTCCCTTACTATTTCACTGAGAAATTTCCCCATTCATGGCCACCCATCAGATACATTCTCAGGCAAAATCAATATATCCCATCTATTAAATTCCTCTTTTGCAACTCATAGGTATCACTAATCATGTCATGATCAGAATATTAAATTTACACTGTCGGAACTATTTCTCACTTTCAAACTCAAATAATTCCCAAAGCTCTAGGAACTGGAAATCTTTCAATGGTTTATGAGAATTAAACTTCTAAGCAAACATCTGTTCTAAACATCCTTTTCTGTAGTTAGAAAGGCAACTGCTGAATTTAAAGCAAATCACAGTTTTAAAACACACTGGGAGCTGAAGAGACGGCTCAGCAGTTAAGTGCACTGGCTGCTCTTCCAGAGGACCTGGGTTTAATTCCCAGCACCCACATGACAGCTCACAACTATCTGTAACTCTAGTTCCAGGGGACCTGACACCCTCACAAAGTCATACATGCAGAGAAAATACTAATGCACATAAAATAAAAGTGTGTGTATATATATGTGTGTGTATAAACAATTTTACTATATATATATATATATATATATTTTTAACATCTGTCAGCCTTGACCATCAGAACTGGAGCAACCCATTTTTCCAGTGTTGACATATGCAGAAAACAGGAAAATAATTCATCACCAAACTAATGGAATGAGTTTTTCTTTTCTTTTTAATATTAATATACCAATCCTGAATTGGTTCCTGGTGGCTGGCTCTGCCTGCCCCCCCCCCTCTCTTTGGGTTTTTCAAGACAGGGTTTCCTCTGTGTAGTACTAGCTGTCTTGGAACTAGCTCTGTAGACCGGGCTGACCTTGAACTCAAGAGATCTGCCTGTCTCTGCTTCCTGAGTGCTGGGATTAAAGGTGTGTGCCTGGCAACCTGGCTTCTTTCTTTCTGTTTAGTAGGCAGCTATTATAACATTTATTAAAATACTAAAGTTAGTAGAAACCGCAGAAAACCCAGTTCAGCCTGCTTTCTTAGTAGCTAGCACCCCGGACCACCAGCCCAGGAGTGGCATTACCCACAGTGAGCTGGGCCCTCCCACACCAATCATCAGTTAAGAAAATGCAGCACAGGCCAGTCTGGCAGGGGTATTTTCTCAATTGAGATTCCCTCTTCCCAAATGATTCTAGCTTGTATCAAGCTGACATAAAACTAGCCAGCAGAATACCCCAACTATAACATACTAGGACTAGTTCACTTCTTTTCTGAGTTGTGGTCAATGGGGTCTTAGAGACCCCTAAATATCACAGGCTCTTGTCACTGCTTTTGGCTATCCTCCAGCTCTTGATGGTCAGACACACTGCTGACGACATACATATGTCAATCATAAACCATGGAGAAATCCAACTGGTACTGCCCTGGAAGCTCCACCTCTCCTGGCTAGCTAGGAGTTGTGTTCAATACCAGAGGAAAGTAATCAATCTCAGCCAGCTGTGAACCCTTCAGGCTACAGGAACTGGCCAGCCAAGAGATGCCACTGGTGCAGAAGTGGCAATGAATGTTACAGCAGGAAACCAACCACTTCCTGATTGGACTTAAGGCCCCTTCTATAACTTCAAGGAAGCAGTATTTTCTAGACATAAGAGGACTGTTGCACACACTAAGTCACAGCAATTGTGAGAGCATGCACAAGACCTGCGCAGTCTCAACCCACACAAAATCCCAGCTCCGACTGGAGGATGTGGAACAAAGTCCCATCAGCAGCTGAGTAACTACGTAGGCATTTGACAGCACCTGGGAGGGAAAGAGTCCATTTTCTTTACTGGTGTAACCCCAAGAGTGGCAGGGTATCAGGAACCATGGCCTTGGTGGGTTTGAAAGAAAAACAATCAAACAAAAAGAGAACTTGAACTTGGGTGGGGAGAAAGGTAGAATTGAACCTGGGAGGGAGGGAAGGAGGGCGTGCATGGGGGCGGGGGTGACTAGCCACAAAATAGTATGAAATTAAAGGAAGGCAACACAAATTCAATGCAAGGTTTTAAATGGGCACAGTGTTTTATTTAAATCTTAGCACATTTTTCTATCATTTTGTTGGAGCTAGTCATTCCTAGGATAGCTACAACAGCTTCAACACTCCAGGGATTGCCGTCTCTTGTCTTGTCAAATCCTCCTAAACCACACTAAACAGACACCAAGAGACGGTCACTAAAAAAAGACACTGCTTTTTTAAAGATGAGAAAAGGACCCATGAAACTCGCTTGGCTCAGATTCAGTCTCCAAATAGCATCCAGTGTCACACAACCCATTTACCCAGTTTGCTGCTCAGTGAGGAATAAATTTAAGCCCTTCTTCAATTAGTTTCTGAACTGAGGAATAAAACCTAAATTCATTAGAAGCAAGTGTGAACCACTCCTACCTTTTCAGCACTGTAAACAAAAACAAGCCTGTGCCTGTCTACACAAAGCTGAAAACTTATACTTATTTGCTTTAGAACCTATATTTTAATGAACGGAATTTATATTCATATGATGGCCTGACTTACACGGGGGAAATGAAGCCAGTCATAAAAATAAACAAGACTTCCAGTACCCATTTGCTTGTTACTTGTCTGAAAGTCATCTTTTAGAATATTTTTTTTTTTTTTTTGGTCTTTCGTGATGGGTTTCTCTGTAGCTTTGAGGCCTGTCCTGGAACTAGCTCTTATATACCAGGCTGGCCTCGAACTCACAGAGATCCGCCTGCTTCTGCCTCCCAAGTGCTGGGATTAAAGGCATGCGCCACCACCATCAGGCCCTAGAATATTTTTTTTTAATTCAGATTTTTGCCATTAAGGGAAAAATCAACAAGCAGAATGAAGCTACATCTAACACACTCAGGAAAACCTGAACAGGTCAATGCACATGAAACCAAGATTTGTTACCCTTCCTGGAACAGTAATAGGTGGAGAGGGGAAAATTCTGTTGGTCATACGCTCTGTGTAACTTTTAAAAATTGTTCTTAACTGTTCTGTAAAAGGACAGAATCTTCTTCATTTTATTACACTGGCTCAAGAAGTGGCTCTTGCCTAGATGAAGGTCATGTGGTCCACGCTCAGCACCAGGAAGGGCGGAGAGCAGCACAGCGCAGCACAGGCCAGGTTCACAACAAAGAGTGGTTACACGGAATCCGGAAGGACACGACGTTTAAGAGCTACAGTAGGCTCCAGGCAACTGTGACACCACCAGCCTCCCCATTTTCCAGGGTTTCAAAATAGTTAACAGTCTTTGAGAATTGAACCACCGAGCTCTCACTGTGGTCATGATTTGGCTCCAGCAACTCATTCACATGAAATCTCAGCTTCCTCAGCCATGAAAAGAAGGAAATGAACTAGGTCATGGCCAAAGCTGCTTCTTTCTCTAGGAATACAATTCTGTATGACCTTCTGGCCTGCATCCAACTAGAGTTCCTTATCTAACCTCTGCTGATTCCTATCAGTAGAGAAATAAAGCACCAAGACTGACAACAAAAATCACGGTGCAAAAAGTCCCTCAATTTATCAAGTCAGAGACTTAAAGACGAACACCCTTCAGTAGCAGTGATCAGGCCGGAACATCAGGTCAGCCAGGTATAAATGACCTCAAGTGGTTCTCTGGATCACTCGTGCCAGCACAACAGAAGCCTAGGACTCAAGTCCTAGCCCTATCCACCCACTGTGGACAATTCATGGGTTTGGTAACAAGACCTCAGAAGTCAAACCCAGTTCTACTACTTAATGGGTTTGTGATCTCGAGACTTCACTTCTCTGAGCCTTTGTTGCTCACCTCATCTTAGAGAATGTTAGAGCCCTAAGACGGGGAACACGGCACCGCATAGTTTTACGTTTTCCATACATGTATTTTGCCTACTTCTTTTTCAATGTGGAGATAATACTCTCCCTGGGTTCCTCTTACTAAGCTGGACCTGAAATGAAAAGGTTGAATTACATAATACCAGAATTAAAGGGAACCAAAGCCTGTCAAACTAACAAAATCTCTCCTTAACTGTCCCACATCCTCTTTCCTAAGCACACCTATTGTGGACTACCATCATTTCTATTCTACTACAGCGGCCTCCTAAGCAGCCCCCGTCTCCCCACGGCACAGGAATGGAACCCACGCTCTACAGCAGTCTTCCAGCTGTGAGGCAGCCTGGGTGGCCCCGTTGTTGTCCTCCACTCTCTAGTACAATGCCCATCTTTCAGCAGTTTGGCCATGATTCTCCTCCTCGTTTCCAGGCTTTCACAGGCACAGCCGCTCTCTCTACTTGGAGTGATCCCAGCAGCTCACACTCAGGCTAACCTTCACTGGTCCTTCCTTCAAAAGCCTGACTCAAAGGGCACTTACTTACTCCAGGACCAAAATAGGTCACATCCCCGCTCTCCTGTCTCGAGGGGCTCTCACGGCCCCAGGTCAATAAGGAAGTCTATGACCTTTGCTAATACATTTGTTAGATCCAGGCAGGCAGGACATGCTCACGCCTCCCCAGAACCTAAGAAAACCAAGTACTCTGTAAACATCCATCAAGGAGCAAATTAAGGGACACGGTGTCCAGATGCCTCATTTTGCAAATAGGGCACGCTGAGTGGCCTGCCTAAGGCTGAGATGTTATTTTTTATTCCCAGGTCAGTGTTTTTCCTGTTAACTCAAAGGTTCTTTCCTGCTCCACATTCTTTTTTCTTGGCTCATCCAATGAAGGAGCTGAAAATGTTTAACAAATGGAAGATACTTCATTGCTGCTGTTTTACTTCCAACTTCCCTGCAGGGCACCCTAGGGAACTCTCAGTACCCTTTTTCTGTACCTCCTCGTTTCATTAAATTCTACATTAATGAATAACCTACTTAGGTGAGTTAGACAATTCCTGTCAGGAAGAAATTATAGTCAATAAGATAAACGTGATGGTGGAATGAGTGAGACAGAGACAAAGTAGTTTGGCTGTAATTGTCCAGGGAACAGTAAAGAAGGGAGTCACAAGATGGGCGGTGATGGAGCATGACTTTAATTTCAAGCAGAGGCCTGAACTCTCCGAGTTCGAGGTCAGCCTGGTCTATAGAGTGAGTTCCAGGACAGCGAGAGCTACAGCGAAACTGTCTCGAAAAACCCGAAAGAAAAGGAAAGGGAAAAGAAAGAAAGGAATAACGAAGGCAACTCCTAAGATAAGATTTTGAAGTGTGAATAAGTTCCCCGGAAGAGGCTTTGCGTCCACCCAATCCAAGCCACATTTAGCGAGTGACAAGTTGCCTTTCCTACACGGTGGGAAATGCAGACGCTCACTAACTCCACAACTAGTATTTCCACTTACGCTAAAGAGGGATCTGGAAACAGAATGAAAAACAAGAGAGTAGTAGGCCAGAGCACCTCCTATGCCACGTTAAAGGGCACGCACTTTGATGCAAGGGCATGGCAAGTCATGGAAGGCTTTCCAGTTAGAAATCGACCACCTCCGTTAGTGGGTGCCCACTTGGCTGCTTCTCTAGACTCAAGAAATAAGGCAAAGCCGGATTTCGAGGCGCACACCTTTAATCCCAGAACTTGGGAGACGGAGACAAGCGCATCTCTGTGAATTCGAGGACAGCATGGACTACAAGCGCGAGTTCCAGAGTTCATTGTTGTGTGTGTGTGTGTGTGTGTGTGTCGGGGGGAAACCTACAGCTAAACTGCCCCGAAGATCTGCGCAGGCCAAACACGATCCAAACGCCATGTCCACTCACCCTCAATTGTATGTTCCCACTGGCGATGGCCCGGCAGTCCTCGCCTCCATCTCGGGTGCCACGGAGCTCGGGCCACCGCCCTGCTCTCCACCCGATCCCCACCCCCACCCCGATCCCCACCCTGTCCCGCCGCCTCTCACCTCTGCAAGTTCTCGATCTCGGCGGGGATGCTCTGCAGTTGGTTGCCGCCCAGGCTGAGGGTCTGCAGCGCCCGCAGCTCCAACAGCGAGGGGGGCACCTCCTGGAAGCAGTTGCCGCTGAGGTTGAGCACCTGGAGGCTGCGGCAGAGCGGCGAGCGGGCCAGGCCCTTGGGCAGCGAGCCCGGGCCGCCGAGCCGGTTGTTCCTGGCCAGGAGCGTGCGCAGGCCGCTCAGCGTCAGCAGTTCGGGCCCTAGCGCCGTGAGCGCGTTGCCGCTCACGTCCAGGAGCTGGAGGTGCGGGAAGCCGCAGCCCAGCGCCCGCGGTAGCGACGTCAGCCGGGTGTAGGGCAGCAGCAGCCGCTGCTGCGGCTGCT